CAACTGTACATCTGACCTTGAAAATCAAGGCCATCCACTGACGTAATTTACACTAACACTTCCCATACTTTTTGTGTGACACTGGCTTAGCTGCACCAGAGGCAGCAACAGTGAACATGCTTAGGTAGACCAAGCACATGCACAATGTTGCCTAAATCTGTTCAGAGAATAGAATTGTTCCACATTGCAACCTATCATGCTTCAAACATATATTTAATGTAAAGGTAAACATTTGGGACTTAGGAACTATGCCAGTATTGAAGATGCCTGTTCAGTTTTAAGTCATCACACCTGGTTTTTAATTGCATAATTACCTTTGTATTTTTTTTAAAGGCCCAACCTCAATCATTTGCTGCTGCTTAAGTGCCCAGTGCTGCATGGTATATTTGGAAATTGTCCTTCCCTCTTTGAATTCCACCATAATCTAAGTCTCCTATACAGGATACCACTTGTATGTCTGCACCCCAGACATGGCTGTAGCAGGTTCATAAACCTCCACAAGTGACATATAGAGAGGAGACATTGACCAGAAAGGTTCTTCCTCGACCTCAGAGGTCAAATCCACTCACAGTTTCCATAATCTCTACTGTCGCAGCACTCCTGGGAAGGTTGTTGCCTGAAAGAATGAAAACTGCTGATATCCTAGGCATGAGTGTGCAATCCTGATCATGGAGATAGTTAAGTCATTTTACCCCAGCATAGCCCTGGCTGGCAGGGGACCCAGGGGTTCAACCTGCCAGCCGGGAGCTGCTCCACCCCAGCTCAGCATAATGCAGAGGAGCTGGTTCAGGCAGGCAGCCCCTACACTGTAGTACCCTCATGCCGCAACCAGCCTCAGTCCCCGTCTACGCATGTGGTGCTGTGCACTAAATAACCCCGCCTGTACTTTTGTCAAGCAGTATTATCCTGCAGTGGAGTTAATTAGTTTACTGTAGCCTAATAGTGCTGCACTTGGAGAAAGTGACATTTTACTGCAGAACTAATTAGTCAACTCTGCAGTAAAGTGCACATGTAGGTGTCCCCACTGAGTCGTATTTAAGTTTGCTGGGTTTTGTTTGTTTTTATAATTCTGTCATTTATGCACAAGTTTGGGGGTTTGCCTTGTTTATAGGTGGGAGAGAGAGTGTGAGGTGACATAAAACTTTTGTCTCCTATAATTTTTAGGGTCCCACAGGTCATCCTGGTCTTCATGGAATGGTAGGTCCTCCAGGGGTAAAAGGAGAAAAGGTAAGCTAAAAGTCTAAGCGCCTAAATCAGCATGAAATTTTTTTCCACTTTCAAGATCTAAAAAGCCTTGAATGGTTTTATCTGTGGCATACTGTTGTCTGGCCTTAATATGTGGCTTTTTACTGAATCCAGCTCATATAACTTAACATATCTCAAAGGGCATTTTGAATAACTGTATTCTGCACTGATGTGTACAGCCCAATTTTGTTTTCAACATGTTACGTACAAAATCCATTGGTGAGCTACTTGCAGTACTTCACTGTGGCAGGGCACCTTTGGTGCCTGCTACTTTAAGAGGTTGGAGCAGGCTGTGGAGCAGCCGGCAGCTGCGATGCAGCCTAACAAGGCGGTCACACGACTGCGGGAGGGCTCCTGGATTGGAGAATGGGGCTGAACAGCCTCAATATAAACAAAGGCCCTCAATGCTGAGTGGGCAGTTGCTGCAGGGAGCCAGAGAGAGAACATCACCAGCCAGAGCTGCTGCTCCCAGAACACCTGGAGGTCGAGGGTAGGAACTACGGGGATGGAGGAGGTTCCTGGGGAATGACCTAAAACTACACCCTGCTAAGGTAGGATGGTGTGGTGGGTCTCCCTATGGCAGGGTGGTGGTCCCTAGGAAATGCCACACTAGTGCCTCCCTAGTGAAAGATGAGTATGGGCGCTGTATAGCCTCAGCCCCCACAACCTGGTGGGTTACCCCATAGAGGGGACAGGTGAGGGGTCCAGGCATGTCATCAGGCCTGAGACCCAAAGGGAGCAAAGCTGAGCCAGTGAGGGAGTGGAGTAGTGGGCCCAGTGATAGCATGTGAGAAACCACAGAGTAGGGTTCACATGCGTGGACCTGCAGGACTCCACATGGGCTGCACAGAGTAGGGTCTGCATGGGCGGGCTTGCACATAAGCCATCTTTAGAGATTAAGTGAACTGGGTTTGGAGGGGCCCAAGAAGGCAGGCCCGTATGTGAGAGAGAAGGCAAGCGGCTCAGTGACCTAACTGGAGAAACCCTTGACTGGTTAATACTGGGGCCAGGACCAAAACATTAAAAGGACCAGACCACCCACCTTGAGGGATGGCTAGAGCCAGGGGCCTGGACTTCCGACTGGCCTAGAGGTGAAGCCAGGGCCTGTGTAGCCAAAGGTGCCAGAGGGAGCCACTGCCAAGGGGGAAAAGGGCTTAGGGAATTTTGCAGCCCAGAATGATGGCAGAGAGTAGGCTGCCTGAGGAGGAGGGATCCAGGTGGGAACCGAATGTCAGGCGGGCATAGAAGGAGGTCCATTGTGGGGCCAGGGCCACATAGTGATGCCATCTGCGAGACATGGGACACAGTATAAGGAGAGGTTCAGAGCCATGTATTACACGCTTGGCATCAGGCAGTATATGGGCAGCCCAACGCCAAAGGAGAATCCCTGAATCGCCCAATACTTTTTAAAAAGCTAATAATTTTTAATTTCATCTCATGATTTTGGGTAGCCTGACTTATGATTCTGAATGCTTGGATTTTGCCATGTTGGAACACACATGAGGAATTAGTGGCTCCCCTACAGAGTTTCAATATGGGCCACAGAGACTTAAAATAAGTCTCTTGCTCTAGAACTAGAGGCTTGATTCTGTGTCCATTATAAACATAGGGGTGAAAGGGACCCAAGGGATCATCTAGCCAACCCCTGCACAGATGTAGGATTCTTTATTCCTACATCCTTCCAGACGATCATCTTGATGCCCATCCAGCCACTTCTTGAACGAGGTTCCACAGTTTTCCTTAGCACCTTGTACTTTTGTCCCACTGTTCCTACAGTTGGGAAGTTTTTCCTGAGATTTCATTTAGATCTGCTCTCCAGGCGCTTAAAGCATATTCAATGAAAAATTCCCACATACTCCAAGAATGCAGGATCAGGCCCTATGTAAAGGCCTGACAAGAATAAAACTTTCTAGGTAAAGTAAATTACAGTGAAATTAATCAGATTTTAGGGATACAACTGGAGGGGAAGGGTTGAGGAAGCAGGTATTAACTGAAAGAAGATGCAATCTTTATAAAAAGCATATTTCTCAGAACGATAGATAAAGGTATAGATTTCTCATTCTGTTTTCCTCATAGCATATATTAGATGACAACTGAATTATAGATGAAGCCCTACACACTTGCAGCTGCTCACAGAATAAACAGTGCACAGCAACCCGGCCAGTCCCACTGAGGTCAACATTGTAGTGAATTCTGGGATTTAAACATGGATTTTACTATTACTAATATTTTTTTTCCAAAATGTATGATAAACCTTGGTCTAATATGTATTATAGTATCTGGCTATACCTGTTATCCCCCTTGGCAAAAGGAAGACTATAATACCATTTTACTTGAATATAAGACTACCCTGAGTATAGGACAACCCCCCAATAATTAGGTTCTATATACAATAAAAGCTGTGTCAGCCAGCATGTGTGTGGTAAGGGGAGTGCTGGGTATCAGGCGGGTGGGGGTGGCAGGGGGGTGGCAGAGCAACAGCAGTGCAGGGTGGTGGGTGGCAGCAGCACCTGCCGCATGCGAGCTCCCCCCCTCTACCCCTACTGGCATCCAGCCAACTGGCCGGAAATTCCAGTTAATAGAGTATTCCAGATAGTAGAATGCCAGTTAACACAGCTTTTACTATATATCAAATTTTCATTGAATCACCTGTTAGATAAAAGCACCAAAAGCCCCACTAAAGCGCCCAATCTATGCAGACACTGCAGAGCCAGGTCAAAATAATGTGCAGCTTCTTCCAGTAAAGCCCTTTTTTTCCTACATCTGCAAGCAGCCTCTGTGCTCTGGTCCCTGATCTTCCACAGGGCGTTCCTGAAGCAGGAGATGAATTGGTTGAAATGGGCTGTCTGAGTTCCCTGCTGCTTGGTCAAGTGACCAAACAGCACTGCCTCTCTGGTTAGGGTCTTGACCCCTCTCATCATCAGGAGGAGTACAATTACTCTCCTCCATACCGTCTTAGTTAAAGGGCAGTACCGGAGGAGGTGATCGAATATTTCCACTTTCCACTGGCAGGTTTACCTGGGACAGTTTGGTAGGCCTCTGTGCCCCTCTGTTTTTCCGAATCCAGATGGGGAGTGCCTGGGGCAGAGCTACCTGCCATTTCAAATCTCTGTGCTCCTTTTACAGGTCCTTCTGGAAGATTCACTCCCACACAGCCTGGTAGTTGTTGCTGGGTAGTAGGTCTGTGGTCAGTAAAATGTCTCTTGCTCTTACCACGATCAGCATCTTACAGTGGTTTGTCAGGTTGCTGGTGTTTTGTTTTGCAGATTGTATTTATTCTGGAAGCATTTCAGGACTTCATAGAACCATGGTGACTCCATAGTCCACGGGCTTGTGTTGGGCAGCGTATACACCCTCCAGCGTCACAGTTTGCAGGGCACCTGCTATCTTACGAAGCAGGCTGCTTTGGATTCTGTCGCCATCGCCAGTTTGCAGATCTGACTCATGTCCTTGGCCCGTAGGAACAGCAGGACATCTGGCATTTCTCAGCCCCCAGTCCATTTTGTCTTGTACAGTGTGCTTCTTGCAACTTTCTCCCATCTGGAGCCCCAGAAGAAGGTGCACATGGCACTTTGGATTCTGTGGGTGACTTGCTTTGAGGCGGGGAAAGACCAGTGTGGTGTATAGAAGCACTGGTAGCACTACTGCCCTCATGAGTACTATGCATCCCCTCTATTGACAAGTAACACATCCCCTCCATTGTCGCAGTCTCTGTTTGACCTTGGCCTCAGTCTTTTCTCATGCCCTCTGCCTGGTCAGTTCTGGGTTGATCTCCACCCCAAGGATTTTCTCCCTTGTGGGTGACAGAGGCCCCCAGGACCAACAGGTCTCTGAATTGCCTACCTCCCAAGCAAGTGCTTTTGCTCCTGCTGAGCTTGGCCCCCACCACTGTTCTTTATACCTGAGTGTGTTGTAACACTCTTTCAACTGACCATTTGACCCTGCATATGATGTTGAGGTCATCCATTTAGGACAGGACCCTTATTTTTTCCTGGTTACTCCCAAAGATGTCTACTCTGCTGACCCCAGAGTCCCACCTGAGCTAGTGGGCTGGTGGTTCCATCATACAGATAAACAGGACTGGGGATTGTGGGCATCCCTGCCAGATGCCAAACTCCACTTTGATCGGGGCTGTCAGGGACCCATGCTAACACCCTGCTGCTCACATCACTGTACAACATCTTAATCCATGTGGTGAAATCTGGGGGACCCCCATCTTCTTCATTATCTCAAACAGGAATTGGTGGGCCACTCAGTCATGGGTCTTCTCCAGGTCAAGATTCAGCACAGCTGTTTTCAACCCTCTCTCTCCCCATTGGTACTGTAGCACATGTGGTAGCTGCAGCAGGGTTCCATGGATCTACCGCCCAGGCACTGTGCATGACTAGTCCCCGTGGAACTCTGCACCTGTGACAGACTTAAAACGCTCAGCCAAGACTTTGGCCATTGTCCTATAGTTGAAGCTGAGAAGCATTATGGATCTCCAGTTTTTTAGCTTATCTCTTCCCTCCTTCTAGTAAAGAAGGGTTATGAGACACCCAGATGGCCCTCCTGCAGGTGCTCTTTACAGACCTCCAGCAGGTCCAGGCCCATCTGGTCCCAGAAGGTCACATAGAGCCCTTGGGCAGGCTGTCTACCCCAGGAGTCTTACTCTTCTTGAAACAGTGGAGAGTTCTACTGATCTCCTCCTGCATCCATTCCTCCACCAGCTTCTGACTCTTTTCCTCCCCAAGGACCTGGATGAGCTCCAGCAGGCATCCTACCTGGCCTCAGGTCCTCTGGGTGCACAGTGTAGAGCTCCCAGTAGACGGCCGCTGCTGTCTCCAGTATCCCTTTGTTTCACCAGTGCTCCACGCTCACTCAGTCTACCAGATTGGTCATGTCTTTCTTCTTGCCTTCTTTAACCTGCTAAAATAGTCAGACCACTTCTCTCCCTCCTTCACCCAGGGGGCCCAAGCCAGGAAGATCTTCTTCCTGGCCTGTTCTCTGTACCAGGCCTCAATCTGGGTCTTTACCTCCAGCATGGCCTCCCTTACTTCCTAACCCCAAGCTGCCTGTTTGTGCAGGCTCTGCAACTTGCAGTTTAGCTGTTTGTATTGTTTACTCTGGAATCAGGCTCACTTTCTTCCAGCCTGCTGGAAGAAGTCTCTTGTTCTTTCTTTCATGCTGGCCCACCACTACACTCCATGTACCTGGGTCTGAGGGTTTTCCACCCTACATAGTGCTGCCTGAACTCCTACTGCATCTTTTCATTGTCCAGAAGGCTCATGTTCAGAGTTCACATTTCTCTGCCTTTCTTGGGCTGCCTCCTCATTTCTGCTTTCACTGTCAGGAGGCAGTGGTCCAAGAAGCAGACAGGCGCAGATTCAGATTTAGGTACTTTCCACCCCTTGGGGAGGAGGATATAATCTATGCGTGATTTTGATTGACCCAAGGGGTCTATCCATGTGAAATTTGTGAGTGCCAGACAGTTTGTGTGTTTACACAACCCTATGTGAGTGCAGTTTGTAAAGCAGCAACAGGGGGGGAAGGGAAAGCAGCATGTGTTAGCCAGTTTTTTGCAGGTACAATCTTGAGAGGATAATGGGGGACTACAGTTATGCTTTCCCCCTGGCTTGCTCCTTTGCTTTTTTGCTAGGAATAAGTAAGACTAGTGGGCACCTGAAACCAAGGGCTTCCAGATATGGGACTTGCACGTAGGATGCCTGCCATGGATTTAAAGAGTATCCATAGCTCCAGACTCCAGATGAGTCTGAGAGGGAGGATATTTGTCCAGTAGTCGAGCCACACAGACTTGAAAAATTGATCTCTCCTCAGTTGAATTTGGAACTTGACTATTGGGTCCGACTGAATTTTGGAACTGATTTGGCTGATTTGGCCCTTGGGATTAAATACATATATAAAAATAAATGTTGTGGCAATGGGGGACTGCTCTCATGCTTTTCTCCTAGCTGCTTCTCAGCCTTTTGGCTAGGAGCAAGCAAGACTAGGGGGCATGTGAACTCCAAGGCTTCCAGGCCTGGAGCTTGCATGTAGAATGCTGCTGAAAAAACTAAGTTTCCATTGGTATGTTTGCCCGGTATGGGCCATGTGTTTTATACTAAAGCTTAGTGTTGACTGCATTTAATCAACTTCATGGTTGGCTTCCATTACTGAGCACATGCTGCTTTTGGCAGCAGCTTAGTGATAGACAATGTATCTAATGAGGCTTCCTTTTATGGAAGTACAAGATGAGGCACTTTTCCCGCCATGCTGATTGGAATAAAAAACCTTGTCTTGTATTCAAGTAAATATGGTAGGTTAATGGGAACAGTATTGAAGAGACCATCTGTGGGACGGAAGTTTTACATGCTGTCTGTGGTTATTTTAAAATAAATAATTCATTTTTACTGTTGTTCTTTTGCTTTGCCACTTACTCTTTCTGTTCACTCCTTATGAGGGCAGAGTTTCCTTTGACTACTTGAGTAAGGACTGCAGGATATGATTGGATATGTTAGCTATTGCAATTAAGTCAGTTAGGCCCAGTGTGATTTTTAAAATGAGCTCTTTTCATGCTGTGGGTTTCTTCCTATTCTGTAAATGGAATTTGAAGACAACGGGATGGGAGGAGAGATGCTGAGAGAGAGAGAAGATTCTGTCTCTTCCATGAAAGCTGAATAGGAAAGAACAGAAACCTATTAATCCACAGCAGGCTGGCATTAGTAATCTGCGTGTATGTATCAGAACACATAACTTCAGGAAAAATCTGATAACTCTCTCTCTCGTTTTCTTTTTAATTAAGACCACTCTGTCTCTTACAAGTAGAGATTTATCAGAGATCAGATATGTGCAAAACTGAGACAGTGCAGCCATAAGAACTTCACTAATAATCTTGTTGGGTTTGGCCATACTTACAGCGTGCTTTGGACTATATCCTGCTCCTTCCATGGGATGAGGATTAGACATTTGGTGTTTTGATTCTATGTTCCAGAGTTGTAAAGTCTACACCAGGGGTTGTCAATGGGGGGTATGCATACCCCCAAGGGTACTTTGAAAGGTCCCAGGGGTACATGCAGGTGGGCGAGGACAGAGCGCCGCCGCCTCACAGGAACAGGGCTGGGCAGGGCAAGGGCAGCGGCACCCCTCTGCAGGCCAGACGTGGGGAAGAAGCTTGCACACAGTGGCTACTGCTGCCATCCACCACCTGGTGCCACTGCTCCATGTGCGGGTGCCCCCCACACCCCCACTCCACAACCGGCTGCTGCTACCCCCACCGCAGCTCCTTAACCGGCCGCCAAGGGTACATTGCTCAAAAAAGGTTGAAAACTAAATTAAGGTACTAGACCAGTGGTGCTCAGCTTTTCCAGCGCACAAGCTGGATGAGTGGGACACAGCCAGACTGTGGGATAGATCCAATATGTGGGTCCAGGTCTGCACACCAGTTCCAGGACTCCATGCTGGGTCTATGGCCAGGTGTCAGGTCTGGGTGTGGACTGGCTCTGCGTGCTGGCTTAATCCAGCATGTGGGGCCATGTTATAGGACACCTAATGGGTCAAAAATCTGGTGGCAGGAGAGGGGTGGCAGGGTTAATTGCCACAGAGCTTCCAGAGCTGTGGCAATTAACACTGGCACCAATCCCCGGCTGGCAGATTTCTGGATCCTTTGGGAGCCCCATGGGCTGCATGACTCAGCTCTGTGGGCTGGATCTGGCCTGCAGGCTGTACTTGGAGCACCACAGTATTGGACTGCTTTCTATCTGTGAATCATACTAGAAATTCAAATCATGTTTCTCTGTTACCTATTCAATTGTGGGTTGCTTTTTTTAACCAGCACCTTTTATTGTATCATGACATCAACAAATATGTAAGGTATTCACCAAAATCTGAATTAAGCAGAGCGTGTGCCTGTGTTCTTGCTTCCTAACTATTTATATCCTACCCAAATAAGTGAGATTTGGTTTTATTTTACAGGGTGATCCAGGTCTTCCTGGTTCCATTGGTCCAAAGGTTGGTTGTTTCTTTATAACAACTTCATGTTATGTACAGTTTATCACAATTTTTTACCTAGTATAAGTTTTTTCAAAGCAGTTGAAAAAAAGTCAAGATAAAGTCGCTTAACAAAATGAAATGTCCCTATTTTTTATATTTTTGCACAGAATTTAGGAATAAGTAGACCTGAGTCCTATTCCCGGCTCTGGTTTCCAAGCTGCTGTGTCAGGGTCAGGTGACTTGTTTGGTGCAGACTTTAGAACTATACTGCCTCACTTTCCTATCCATAAAATGAGCATAATATGTAACTCCTGGATATGTTATGGAGCCTAATGTATTTGTATTTGAACTGTGTTTGGAAGGAAGGAGCTTAGAAGTCCCAGAGAGTATTATTCTGCAGCCTCATTAAGTCAATGATTTTGATTCAAACAAATTATATTTTATATGGACAAGTAGATGTGCTAACTTCATGTTGTGTCATTTCCTTTTGCTTTAGGGAGATGCTGGAGATATTGGAGCACCAGGTCTAAAAGGTGAAGCAGGTGCTGATGGACAGCCTGGGAAACCCGGACTACCAGGACTCCCGGGACCCCCTGGCCCAGGCTATGGCTTTGGATTTGAGGTAACTGTCCTATAAAGATGATTAATTGTATGTACAAGGCCATTAGCTGCAAAGGGAGGACAACATGATTGTTACTTGTTGATTCTGAAGATGGAGATGATAATTCATGTTAGTCAGAAATAAGCAGGCAGAAGGTAGTGCAGGTGACCTCTTGGGGACTATAGAGGTTCAAGGCATGCTCTTTGTAGGCAAGAACCTACTTCATCAGCTATCACCATCAGTCTGGTTTTGTGAGGGGGCGGTTCACAAAGGCTTTAAGACTAGATTAGACAAACATTTGTCTAGAATGGTTTATACAGAAGTGATACTGCCTTGAACAGGGAGTTAGACTAGAGCTTCTGAGGTCCCTTCCAGCACTACTTTTTATGTTTCTTATTTAAGATGAATTTGATCACAAAAAGATTCCTTTAGCTTTACACTAAAAATTGCTTGTGACATTTGTGTTTAGGTTTAATTTATTTCTTCCCAGCCTCCAGGTAAACGGCTTACTATTATTTTTCTGAGTGGAATCTGGCCGTATATTTTATTACAATATATTGGTAGTTTATTTCTCTAAGTAACATGCATATGACAGTTTAGTGATTGGATTGTCCTCCAGAATTGTACAGACATCTCCATCTTCCTATAATGGGGTCACATACACATCCAGAGAGGATAACAGAATCACAGAAAAGTAGGACTACAAGGGACCTCCACAGGTCATCTAGTTCAATTCCCTGCTTGAGATAGGATCTTCCCTATCTAAACCATCCCATAAAAGGCCTTACCTAACAATTTTCCAAGTTCTGAGTGGCCAAGGACCACTGGCCTCCGGGTTGTACACCATGCTATTTGTCCCTCCTCACTGCACTACATGCACACTTCCCATGTGAGGAGCAACCCCAGCTGCACCGTACTGGCGCCTCCTTTTTGCACAGGGTCTCCCTAAGGCCCTCAGCTCTGCTGGCTACCCTTCCTTGCCCCCAGGGGAGGGGACAAGCAGCAGAAGCTGAGGGAGGGAGAGTCTGGAGATTACAGCAGCAACACAGGAAAGCAATGTGAAGAGAATGGCAGTCAACCCAGGAGCTCAAGGGCTGCAGGTTAAATTCTATGGGGCCACATGCAATCCGTTAGCCTCCAATAGGACAGTCCTGGTATAATCTTTTCCTAAAACTACATAATCAGTCCTGTTGTACAAGTACAAGACACCATGCCCAAATCAGAGAAAGAGATTTAGCTGTCTTAGTTTAAAGTCAAATAGAAGGCAAGGTAGAGATGCACCTTATAGACCAACTAAACCAGAGATTCAAAAGATTTTGTAAGCAACAGCTTGTTTCAGCTTGATGGGAAGGGACTGCAGGGAGTAGTGCTTCTAAATGGAAAGTAGTGTTTGACTACAAAGGATAGGGAATGGTGGGGTCCCAGTAGTGGCCATGACACCCTCTGGTGGCTCTGTAACCTGTGCCCTGCTCTGCCTCTAGGGTGCCCTCCCCTCCTCCTTTCCTGCCATGCCTTGATGTTCTTATTGTATTGCAGAGGAGGTTCCCTCAATAGTCCTAGAGCGAGCCTTACTCTAATAGCCAGCAGGTCCCTCCTGAACACCCCTGGCCTCAATCCTGCCCTTAGGCTGTGTAGGCATTTTCAGCCTGCCTGGGGCACCTATAAGCCTTAAGGGCTAATTACATATCTGTGCCCCTCCAGGACACCTGTAGCTTTAAGGCCTCATGGCATGGCTCCGTCCTCCTCTACACCATGTTCCATGCTTTGTGGGTGTGACTGTACTGTCCCTCTCCTGTTAGGACTTCGGCCTTTTCAATGTCCATACCTTTTTTCTCGCTAGGCCTTCTAGCCTGGGCCCATTGTATTGGACCTGGCATCTAGGCACCAGCTCTAGTTTTGCCCAGGCTCTGGGCCCTTGGCCCCTGTCTCTGCCCCTCTCAAGTGCTGCGCCTTCTAGCTGCAAGCTTCACCCTGCTCTGGGGTCCTCTTGCTTGCTCTGCCTTGAGCCTGTCCCCAGCAGGACTTGAGGCAACCACTTGCCCCTAAGGCACTAATGGGACCTCCAAAGACCACCCCTCACATTCCCAACCCAAATCATCAATATAACTTAATCAAATAGTAAGCCCTCTGGCTACAAAATGAATCTTCCCTTCTGGGCAAAGAAATACTACGAAAGCAAAACCCTGCTACCACTTTAAGAAGAAAACCTCTTCCCCCACCTCAGAGCAACCCATACTCTGGGGGCCACCTCCATTCTGGGCTCACTCCTGCACTCTGGTTCAGGATCCCTCAGGTAGCTCTTCCCCTCCGGGAAGCTTCTCTCCTTGGCAGAAGCACGGCCAGACTGCTTCAGCTGTGTTCTCCATAGTGACACTCAGTAGCTGCATCCCTCCTGCTGAGATGGTGTTCCTCCAGCAGCCTCCAGGATCTTACTGCTGGCTCCACTCAGGGCCTGTGCTTATATGCAGTCTAAGCCCAGCCCATTCCCTAGTCATGTGGCCCCTGATTTCCTCTGGCCATACCTGCCACCTGCTTCTCTGCTTACCTGCAGGCCCTTAAAATAGCAGGAACACCAAGTCTCCTGCTACAGGAGAAAAAGTGACAAAATTCAGTTAACTCAGGGTTAATCTCATATTGCATTTTGGTCTTGTACTAAGTGAAACAGAATTCTGCTTTTAGTATTCAGAGCCATTATACTATAGGCTAAAACTCCTGTGGCACTAATATCATAGTGGCTTTAGTATTTTATTTTTGTATGTAAATAATTTATAGCCTGGGCTTAAATATGCAGCAATACCTGCCAGTGAGTATGTCTCCACATGATATTAATGCAATTTGTGCCAGAGTTTATTGCTCTTTGGTGCAGTGTTTACATGTGTGCCCAGGACTGCAGCACGTTGAGCCAGGATGGCGCAGCCCTGGGGGGGTCAGTTTACCAACCCAGAGCTGCTCCCTTCTGGCTCAGCGTTCTGCAGAGGGGTTAGCCAGCAGGCAGCCCCTGCACTGTAGCACCCTCATGTCCCAGCCAGCCCCTTCACAGTGCACACATGCATCTGCTATCCTACATCTGCTGTAGGATAGTACTCGTGTTAGGGAGTACTATCCTACAGTGGAGTTAATTAGTTTACTGCAGCCTAATAGCACTGCACGTATAGATGGTGATTCTTTACTGTGGAGCTAATTTTAGTTACCTCTGAAGTAAAGCATCATATGTAGATGCACCCAGGATGCTTTAACAGTGAATTGCAGGTTCTGTGTTAGATGCCAGTTTTCATATACTGTCATCCTGGACACAAAATGCAGCCACTCCATAGTGAACTCATGCTTTGTAAGATTCAATAGGAACCATCTCTTATTACAAAAAAACAAAAAAACTTCAAGCCATTACACTTTATTGAGGCATAAAGAGCAACTTCCATTTTAAAATTTGAGTTTTGGCTAACCTTAGGTTCAATTTCACCCTTCATTTGAAAATGTTTTATAGCAGTTGTATCTCAGAACACTGCAGTTTACCTTGTGCTGCCCTGCTGGCAAGCATAAGTGAGAGAATCAGGGTCTATACATTTTTCTTTCTGCTAACCACAGTAGTCATTTAGCTTATATATGTGGGTTTTCCTCTCTCTCTGTACTTATTTATGCAGTGTTCATCTCTTCTTTGGCTTTTTCATTCAGGAGATGTTTTCAAACTGTGGTGCTATTTTCTTTTAACCTCATAGAATGCAATGTAGCACAGCACAGTAAAGAAGATGAATATTATATGAGAAATAAACAACGTTTGCTTGAAACTGGTGGCCACAATGGGCGCGTCCACACATTCAGGCATATTCGCTTGCAGCAGCTCAAATAAAAGCAGTGCAAATTTGAGCCGGGGCTTTTTGCCTCAGCGCACGTACCCAGACATGCACTTTGGTGTGGAGCAATTTGTGCCACTTGGGGCAAAATAACCCTGCCTGGCTCCTCCCAGATCTGCAGCCAAGGAGAGCTAGAGGCTGGGGCCAGCACCTGTGCTGTCCCCAGCAGTATAAAAGGCTGCTCTGGCAAGTAGCTCAGGGCTACTCACTCTCAGGAGTTTCTGGGGCCTGGCCAATTGGTACCTGGGCACACTACCCCTTGTGCCAGCTGGAATGCTGAACCAGCCCTGAGAGTTCCCTGCACCCTCTACTCACTGCAGCAGTCTGGCAGTGGGGGCCGCTGCCTGGCTGTGACCTGTTGCTACCTGCAACAGCATGTGGCCCTAAGGCTGCACACCTGCCACACCCAGATGGGGACTGCATGGACATTAGAGGCATCTGGGCCAGCTGCTAGTGGGCTGTGGCAGCTGTGCAGCACTACTGCCATGTGTGCCATTGCTTGGCCACCTGGGCACCTATCACCTGGAACATGTTCTCAGTGTGGTGGCCTGCTTTGGACTGTTAAAACAAATCCTGGCTGTGACCTCCAGCTGGGTCCCGGGTGCAAGCTCTGAGCAGGCTCCTCTGCCTGGGTCCTGCCGCACTATCAGGAATTCTGGTGTTCCCTATTTAAACTGCAAAATCCCTGATAAAAAAAATCCTAAAGTCAGTCTTTAAAATACCCCAAAACCCATGTTCTTCCACAAGTAAAACAAAAGTCCACTAGACTCTGTGTGTGTGTGTGTGTGTGTGTGTGTGTGTGTGTGTGTGATATAGATATAGAGAGAGACAGAGAGAAGGAGAGATCAAATCAGTTGGGCAATGTTTTATTGATATAGTTACAATTTTAAAGCAATTTGGAAGCCTACCTGTGCCTCTTGTGGGGGGGACTGTGGGTGTAAGGGGACATGGGGGGGGGGGCTGATCTGGAGGGTCCCCTGCCCCCCACAGGGTGAAGCCCCCACACAGCTCATGGGCTGCATCCCCACAGGGCCACAGTCCCCCAACAGGGGCCCACAGCCCCTCAACAGGAGCTACACCCCCCCCCAAAAGGGATACACCCCCTCAACAGGGGCCAAAGTCCTCCAACAGGGACCCCATGACCCCTTTCAGGGGCAAACCCCCCCGCAG